CAAATGGGAGACGCCCATTGTCACACCCCTCAAAAAAGATGGTAGCCTGAGAATTTGCTCGGACTACAAGACCACAATCAATAAGTTTCTACAAGTTAGCGCTTACCCAGTGCCCGTCATTCAGCATTTATTACACACTTTTGAACCTGGCAGCATTTTTGCCAAATTGGACATGTCTCAAGCGTATCAACAGTTTCCTGTTGACAACCAAACAGCGGAACTCCAGACCATTGTCACTCACAGGGGTGCTTTCCGATGCAAGCGTCTCCAATTTGGCGTAAGTGTTGCTCCAGGTATCTTTCAATCCCTCATGGAGCGGATTTTGCAGGGCCTCCCTGGTGTAGTACCCTACTTCGACGACATCTTAGTCTCGGCCAGGGACAGACCCCAACTCTTCCAGAGAGTTCGAGCAGTGTTAGAGAGGTTCAGACAGCATGGCCTCAAATTGAAAAAAGAAAAATGCGCCATTGCCACTAGACAGGTGGACTTTCTGGGTTATAAAATTGACGCCTCAGGCATTCACCCCCTGGAGTCCAAGGTTAAGGCAATTCACGAGGCACCCACTCCAACCTCCAAAACTGAACTACAGGCCTTCTTGGGGCTATTGAACTTTTACGCGTCCTTCTTGCCCCATAAAGCATCAGTAGCTGAACCCCTACACAGATTACTGGATAAAAAGTCACCTTGGCACTGGGGGCACAAAGAAGACCATGCTTTTCACACCGTCAAATCACTACTTACGTCAGAGGCGGTACTTATCCAATTCGACCCCAACCTTCCATTAGTGCTGGCAGCAGACGCATCCCCTTTTGGAATTGGGGCAGTATTAAGTCACAGGCTTCCCAATGGCGCCGAGGCCCCCATTGCCTTTTTCTCCAGGACGCTCTCTGCAACAGAGCGTAATTACAGCCAGATCGATAAGGAAGCTCTAGCAGCTGTTGCAGCAGTGAAAAAATTTCACGAATTTCTCTTTGGCCATTTTTTCGAGCTGGTCACGGACCACAAGCCCCTTCTGGGTCTACTAGCTGGGGACAAACAGACCCCTCAAGTCCTTTCTCCTAGGATGACGAGATGGACCCTCTTCCTAGCAGCCTACTCCTACAGACTCATACACCGCCCAGGTAAAACATTGTCCCATGCCAACGCTCTCAGCCGCTGTCCCTTGCCGGCTCCGGCTGAAGACCCTGCTCCTGTCCATGCTATTTTCGAGGTCACCCAATTGGACCTCCCCATCACTGCCCTTGACATTGCTGCTAAAACCAAGACAGACAAAACGCTTGCCCAGGTGCTCGACTGGGTGAGGAGGGGGTGGCCGGGTGGCAATGTTGAAAACAAATTTACACCTTTCAAGACCCGCATGCAGGAGTTGTCCAGTTTGTAGGGCTGTCTACTGTGGGGCACTTGAGTGGTCATCCCGACCTCGCTGCGTACCCGAGTTCTGGAGGCATTGCACGAGGGACACCCTGGCATCGTGAGAATGAAGGCATTAGCGCGCAGCTACGTATGGTGGCCGGGCCTCGACGAGGACGTCGTCAGATGGGTAAGTTCCTGCAACATTTGCCAGGAATCCCGTCCTGCTCCTCCTATTGCCACCCCTACTAAATGGGAGAGCGCCAACGCTCCGTGGTCCAGAATTCACATCGACCTGGCCGGCCCTTTGCATGGGAAAATGTTCCTAGTGGTCGTGGACGCCTATTCCAAATGGATTGACGTAGCCCAGCTATCCACGACCACCACTCAAGCAATCACCAACGTATTAACACGCCTATTTGTTACACACGGGCTACCCGACTCCATTGTCTCCGACAATGGCCCACAGTTCGCATCAACCGAGTTCAGCCATTTCGCTGCCAACCTGGGTATCCGCCACATTTTCACAGCCCCATTTCATCCTGCCAGTAACGGATTGGCTGAAAGGGCTGTCAGGACCACTAAAGAAGCCCTGGCTAGGTTCGGCAAGGATGACTGGCACCACAAACTCTCGCGTTTCCTGATGAGCCAGCACTCAACTCCATGTTCAGTCACCAATAAGTCCCCAGCTGAGCTCCTGATGGGCAGGCGTCTGAGGGCTGTATTGGACAGACTTCACCCACAATACTGCCCTGACTCTCCCCTCGCTTCCACGTCGAGGGTTAGACATTTTGTCTTACAGGAGCCAGTATTCGCGAGGAACTTCACTGGAGACCCCCTGTGGATCCCGGGCGAGATCGTGGCCATCACCGGACCCAGGTCGTATCGAGTCAGACTGGAGGACGGCCGTGTCTGGAGAAGGCACCTGGACCAGCTGCGTCGGCGTCTCAGCACCCTCGCTAACAGGGACCCAGAATTGCCTAACGAAGGGGGGCCTCAGCATCAACCCAACATCCACATCATTCCCGGCGACCAGCTTACACCAGCGGCCATCCCAGTAAGCCCGAACACGGACAGCGGCGCCCAGATGGCTGACCAGTCCGATCCAGTCTTCAGGAGCACGTCCCCAGTGACCAACCCTATGAGTCCCGGGCCTGCCCGAACCGAGGGGCACGTTGGTGACACCTTACCGGCTCGGTCCTCCCCGACAGACCCTGAACAGACAGACAGTGTTCCAGAGCTGCGCCGTTCCGGGCGCCAACATAAACCTCCTGCCTACCTCAAGGACTATGCGTGTTCGCATCTGGGGGGGAGGGGTGTTATGTCCTGAGAACTCTAGGAGTTCTCACTCAGGTCCATTCACTTGCGGGGGCGTTTTCCCCTTCATCTCATTGGATGGTTCTCCCCAGCAGCCTGCTATAAAAGCAGGCTGCGGGGTCCAACCAGTTGCTGATTGCTGCGAGCCAGCTCCTGGCGTGGCAAGCACGGTCAGCCCTTTATTGTTATAATAAAGTATTGTTGCACTCATGCTCTGGTTCAGCCTCTCTTTTCCCAAACTTAACAATTTCAACAAAAGCCTTTTATTTAATTCAAATAATTTTTTAAAAAATAATCACTTATCTTAATCTCTTCTTAGATACATTGGTAGCATTTAGATATTTAATCAGTTGTTCTGACCCAGCATTAGCAGAACCAAGAAACAGGCTCCTTCTCCTGAAAAACCCCTCTTTATTTAGTTACTGTAAATTCATGGCATTCCCACACAGAAAAGTCCAGGCAATAATCTTTCCAAGGGTTAATTGCAATAACAGACCTTATCAGTTCCTTAGATAATTGCCAGGCCAAGAGCTTCCAATTGCAAAGCTGTCAATTAATTCCTGGCAAGGTGTCTCTGTGACACATGACCCCCCACGATAAGCAATTATTTCGGAAGAAATACAAACTATTGTCTCCTGCAACCACCACTCCCCTTTTGCTTCTATTCATTCCTCAGCCAGAGAGGGCCCATTCAGTGTCCATGTGTGCCTTTCTTCCTGAGTCGGCCCCTGTTCCTCGGTTGTTCTCCTCTCCTGACAGTTCTGCACATACACACATCTGGAACAGACCCCAGCTGTTCTTCTTCCCCACTTATCTCCGACGGCAGCTGGCAAATGTCGGACAGCCCTGGCCCTATCTCTGCTTCCAATGCAGAGCATCCATCAGAGACTTCCCCAGACTTCAGGACTGGCCCAAGTTACTCCCCAACCTCCTCATTACCTGAGTCTTCTGCCAACTTTGCTGGTGGCTGGCAGGCCGCAACATCAGCAATGCAAGAAATGCATATAGGTTGTTTCCTACCTAGGCATCTGTGGACCAGATAAAAAGTCACCAAGATTACCTGCCATGACTGAATACTTGAGATCCACTTTCTAAGCCTTATCATGGCTTGTTGTCTTCTTGATCCATGCATTGCATGCAATGAGTGTGCCACAGCATAAACAGCATTGTAGATCTTGTAACTTTCACCTTCCATGCTTGTTTCAAAAATGTAAGAAGGTAGATTCTGTAAATCCTCCCTTCCTGTACATAGTTTCTCCCCCTTTGGAAGGATCCTGCCTGGTTTGCCCATCATGCAGCCAAACAACCTTTCCCAACACAGCAGAAGAAAGATATCCCCCTGTGGGTTAAGGGGGTCTAAAGACAGGAGGAAATGACTGAATTCCGAGACATCCCCAGTGTGGTGCCCAAAATGCAAAGCCCCATGGAAGGGCTTTACAGCTTTCAATATGTCTTGATTCCTCATCACGCTAAGTTTCCAATGGGAAGTTAAGATCCAAACTTTCAGAAATGATGTCTTCCTCAAATGTTCATGGACATTCATTGCCATCTGTACATTTGTAATACTATTGGGGTCTCCAAACAGAACAATCACTTCAGCTTTAGACCAAGTCTCGGAAATATGCAGTATTTTCAACATTGGAGTAGTAAGAAAATTTGATTTCAACTTTTCATTGAAGGCCAGGCAGATCTCCTTCTCCTTGAGCATTGGCACCAGAGATGAGACGAAATGTTCTCCATTGTCATCTTCAGGTGCCAGAAGACCAACCCAGTTCCACTGGAAATGCAGGAGCAGCTGGACTAAACCCTCATACTGAGCAAATTCCTTGGTATTAATCCAGAAGAAGGAAGGATAAATGCTTCTGTCTCCCTGACAGAAGTCAAAGCCAATGCCTAGCTGGAGAAAGTGAGATTCTTGCTAAATTTTAGGGATCACCATTATGTGAATTATTGTCCCACCAGTTAGGCTGGCTCACTTTGAGTGCCAAGCTTAATTTTTACATATTAAGGATTACATATTAAGAACAAGAGGTAACATATTTTTCCTAGTCGTGACAGGTCAGAAGGCAAGGGAACTATACTTCAATTTAGTACAGAGAATAGACTGCACCAAAAGGATGATTACACTTTTAGGAAAAGAAGAAATTCCTCTTGGAAAATATAGCCTTTCAGCTTTATCTTGTCCATCATTTCTAGGTTCTATAAAACCATATTTTGACAAAGAAAATACAAAGATATGCTCCCTCCCCAAACAACTTTATTTTCACCTTTGGTTTCTGTGTGTGCTTCTGTTATTTGTCTATCCGACATGGTATCCAGTGAAGCCCTCTTACCTGTGGGACTTTGAAGAGGCTGAAGATGGAGGCCATCTGCTCTGAGGATTTGGGGTTGAGATCTCCAATGACAGAGAGCAGAGTGTCCTGCCTGTCACATTTGTAACCTGGAACCATTTGGCCTCGTGTGGAGAGGAGGGAGAGGCTGTGTGAGCAAACCTCTGTCTCAGTCTGAGAATTGCTATAGATGTGGAAGCCAAGGGTGATGTTGGGGAGGAAAACTACATCCTTGTTGACCTCTCTGACTGCAAACACCAAGGCTACGAACTGCTGGTAGTTCTTGGGTACAACTCTACGGTGAGAAAATCATTGGGGAAATTTTAAGGAAAGCTTTTGTGGGTTGATAGAGTTTATCCTGCCCCCCCACATTCTTTGTAGCAAAAAATCCCAAATTGTTTTGCTGCTAAGGCTGTTCCTTGATTAATATCTGGTGGCCTTGAGAGAAAGGAGAAAATCTTGTCTGTCCATATCCCACATCATTTTATACTTCTCTATTGTCCCTCCTTTCTTCACTTTGCTCCAATGGGTATAGTCCTTCCCAATTGCTCCTCTTCTACCCTAAAACATTTGGTCCTCTCTTGGAGCAGCTTCTTCTGATCTGGTAACTATTGCCGAGTGCCAGACTTCAGTGCGGGGTCAGAACTCTGATTTATTGAAGGCCATTATTCACGAGCAATCTTGATTCCGAAACAGAGGAATTTCTTCAAACTCCTCCACAGTGTCAATTCTTCTCACCTCATCTTTGAGTTTTGCATCAGGAGTTTCTGTCCAAATTAATATTATAAGCCAACTTCTTCACAAGGCCAGCACAATTTCCAAGTGGTTGTCCTCCTTACCTTTTTTGGTGGTTTATTAGCTTCCTAAATTCTGGAAAAATGGAGAATTATAGGCTATTTAATGAATTCAATTCTTTATTGAGATCTGAACTATGGAAGGGCATTGCGAACATCAGTAGAACAAGTGTTTCTGAAAAGAGTCCCTAAACACAAAGCAAACCAAATAATTATTTACATCTTTCCCCTTTGGGTGAAACTCACAAAATATCCTCCAGAAGTCGAGATGGTTTTGTATGAAAGGACCTGATGCTGAATGCATGTATAGTTCCCAGGGGAAAATTCCCACCAATAATGAAATCACCAGGCCTGTAAAAGTCTATCTTACTCTGTAAAGTATTTGGCAACACACACACAGTTTGTATCCTCTTAGCAGAAGTTGGAGGCAGGAGCCAGAAGAGCAGCAGGAGCAGCAGCAGGAGAGGCAGCCCAGTCATTCTTCTCACCTTTCTTCTTAGATCAGAAATCAAGAGGTTGGGTTTTTTTTTTTTGCAGAACTTGAATCACAGGGAGGACTTGAAATTTCAGCAGAACTTTAGCACAAGAGAGCTAGTCTGTGCCAACTGGTTGGCTTCAAGGCAAATTTGTATCCAATTATGCTTCCTCTTACTTATGTTTGATTTATGACCAAAGAGATTACTAAGGCCAGCTGAGTCTCAACAAACCCTGGAGTTGGTTCTTTGCAACACAAGGCAAGGTGACATGTTCTTCCCCCACCAGGCAAACTCCGAGCATTTAATTTAAAGCAGGTTTTATCTTGGAAGATTTTGTGGGTAGAAATCCATCGGGGATACATTAGAAATTACTGTTCTTGTAATAATTGCATGGAAAAGCAATTGTCCTATTTACTGAGTGATAGCTACTCTTCATACAGTTTGGGTCTCCTGTTGATAATCCACAGATCAGATGCTGTTAAGAGTAATCTGTTGGGTTGAATTTTGTAAAACTGACCATGTTCAAACAAGATGGAGTTTTGCTTCTTCCATAATTTGTTTGGATGGTATAGGTGTGGACATGGTGGCAATTGACAATAGAACATGGTGGCATCTGACAATCAATTGTACCCTAATAAGTCTGGGCAATCATACCAACACTTGGATGGAATAAGTGCTATATACTTTATATAAATACCAACTTGCCGGATGATGAAATTACACACTAACTCTTTGCATAGAATTTTGATCTGATCTAAGTATTGTACATAATATTATATACTGTAATATCCTACTTATCAATGAATACGTCAGCTTCAACCATAACAATACAAGATCATACAATAGATACAAACTCAAGGTTAATCACATCAAACTTGATTGAAGGAAATACGACTTCAGCAACAGAGTGGTCAATGTCTGGAATGCTCTACCTGACCTGTGGTTTCTTCCCCAAACCCCCAAAACTTTAACCTTAGACTGTCTACTATTGACCTTTTCCTAAGAGGTCTGTAGGGGGCAGCATAAGCGCACCAACATGCCTACCATCCCTGTCCGATTGTTTCTTTTATTTTTCTTATATGTACCCATTTCATGTATTCATAACTATGTATATACTTATACCTATGATCTTGTAAGCGATCGACAAATAAATAAATAAATAAATAAATAAACAAACAAACAAATAAATAAATATCAACTTAAAAGTTGGCAGGAGAATCTCTCAAGGTATTAGGTTAATTTAAACTCTATAGGAAGGTTGTCCAAGAAGGAGCTGGAATCATAAAAGTTTGTCTGCTCTGTTTGTCTTGGGAACCAGGTCTTCAGAATTGTGAACTGGTGTGGGAAAGACAGCATCACCCATGGTAAACCTCTGGATTGGCTGGGGTAATAGGAATGCGTATATGGTGTTATGTAATAGCAGTGGGATCCTACCTGTTCTTTCAAGTCTCTAATCTTCTGGCTGAATATAGAGACAAGCAGTGCAACACTACCAAGGCTTCCATGCAAAGTTCATTTATTGGATTGTACTAGGCATCCTCAAATATAACTCACACTTACGTCAAGATTCATCTAACATAAATCATCTAAAGTTAATTGACCTGGAAAAAAAGAAGATAAAATATAATGAATATGAAGATATATAATGATGCATTAAGGATTTAAAGAAATAGATTAAGCAATGTATTGGAAAAATTATAAAATAAGATGGGAAAAGCTCGATGATTAAAGAAAATATATAAAATAAGATTAAGATAAGTTATTAAATGTGAAAGACGAATAGGAAATGAAATCAAGTTTGTAATGGAAATGTGTTAACCTGGAATCATGCTGTTCACTGAAAAAAAGATTTTTTTTTCCTGTAAAATATGAAAATTGAATAAAACTTTTGAAAAAAAAAAAAGAGATTCATCTAATGTCCAATCTTTGCTGCAATAGTTGCCTCCATATTGTAAAAAGATGGTTATCTTCATCCCATAGTGATATACCAAAGGAAGACTCCAGCACGATGCTGGGGTCCTGGTAAGAATGCCCAAACACTCCCCCAGCCCAACCAAAGGTCAATTCAGTGACCAATCAGGATTACAGATGTGACCACGTGACATGAACTACATCTCCCAAGGGGCATTCAATACATTTCCCAGGAAGCATTCTCTTAAGGGCACAGCCCTCATTCCCAAATTAACTATATACTGTCTAACCAGCACATGTTCCATTTATTTATGCGTGCAGCTTCCCACACATCAGCTGAGGCTCGGCAGCACCAATCATCTGAGAGGATAAAGAACAGAAAAACATATGGGAGGATGGGAGGGCCAATCCTGTGCTTTTCTCTTCTTTCTCCTCTCAGATGATTGTGGGAGGCTTTTTTTTACTATTGGTTTGGCTGAACCAGTAGGAATTTTTGCAATGAATTAATTACATACGAATCTCTGGGATTCTATCCTGAAGGTATTCCTTCAATATTAGAAGTATGAAACAGCTTGGTCACAGCCAGCACATAATTAAGTGCACTTTCCCCTTTGTTTCACTCTTCAAAATTGATATCTGGAGGCAAGATGATTGCTAGAAAGCTCTCCCTCTCTGATGCATTTCTACCATCATGCAGATGAAAAGAGCACAGAATAACAGAGTTGGAAGGGACCTTGGAGGTCTTCTAGTCCAATCCCCTGCTTAGGCAGGAAAACCTATATCATCTCAGGTTGTCCAATCTATTTTCAAAAACTTCCTGTGTGTTTTTTTTATAATTTTATTTATTTTCAAAATACATATAAAATTTACATTTTAACAGTTTTGTGTCAAGCGTTACATATATACTTAAATACAATATTTACAATTCTTTAATTTTAAATTAATATGTAATTAATTCATTAGTAGAGAAGCAGTCATGAAGTTCAATCTTCTGGTGTTAGGCTACTTTTCAAAAAACAATTTTTTGCAGCTTCCTTTGTCATATCATAACATCCCCAACAAAAATATTTCAGGTTTTCAGTCAAGATGTTGCTGTACCTTCTTTTCTAACCATGTATGTATTTTTGTCCAATATTTTTTGGCTTCTACAGAAGCCCACCACATATGGTAATATGATCTGGGTATCTAGTTGTATTTCCAACATTGAACTGATTTATCTTTAAACATCCTTGACAACCTTGCAGGCGCAAAATACCATCTATCAAACATCTTATATAAGTTTTCATTATATGCAACTGACGTTGTTAAAAAAGGGCAACAGTCATGATGGAAAGTAATAACAACATATTTACGCAATTATGATTTATTTCCAAGTTAATCATGGGGCCTCCCTGGGGAGAATTGGCAGGGTGGGTCTTGTTGCTGATTAAAAGGAAATTTGTGATTAGCACATAACTTGATTTCCAATTACTTAATGAAAAAGCACCTCTCTCATTTCATCATTTATTTTTTTTAAAAATCAAACACAAAAATGTTAAAATTAAACATCCATCCCCACATAAATCAGACATTCTTATGCCTCATTATATTCTCTCTACAATTCAAATGGCGTCTGAATAGGATAATGAAGCATTTGGGGAAAAAGATGCAAGCCAAGAGACCAGCCCCAGAGGCCAAGATGGAGAAGATCTCCACGGCCACCATGGACTTCCCTTTGGTACTCAGGTAGGTGGGGAGGAAGGTGATCCAAACACTGCAAAAGACCAGCATGCTGAAAGTAATGAACTTGGCCTCATTAAAGCTGTTGGGCAATTTCCTAGCCAAAAAGGCTACCGTGAAACTCACAAGGGCCAAAAAACCCAGGTAAGCAAGGACAGCGTAAAACATTGAAGCTGAGCCTTCATTACATTCTAAGATGGCCTCTCCTACCAAGGAGTGGAAGTCCAAGTTGGGAAATGGGGCAGAAGTTACCATCCAGGTGGCACAAATAACTGCTTGGATCACAGGACAGCCTAAGACAATGGAGTTGGTCAGTGGTTTTCCTAAGAGTTTCCTTGTTCTGTTCCCTGGCTTGGTGGCCACGAAGGCCAGAATCACCATGACAGTTTTTGCCAAGACAGAGGAAACTGCAAGGGAAAAGAGAATGGCAAAGGTAGTTTGTCTGAAAAGACAGGTGAGCTTCCCAGGTTGACCAATGAAGAGGAAGGAGCAGAGGAAGCAGAGCAGGAGGGAGACCAGGAGGATGTAAGTGAGATCTCGGTTGTTGGCTTTGACAAGTGGTGTGTCATGCCATTTAAGGAAAATTGCCAGGACTCCCAAGGTGATCATGGCGAGAGAAAGAGTGAGAGACACTAAAACATATCCCAGGGTCTCTTGATAGGAAAGGAAGTGGATTTCCTTGGCAATGCAATGGTCTTTGTCCTTGTTAGGATATTGTTCTTCTGGGCAAGGATCACAGCTTTCAGAATCTGAAATCAAGAATACTCATGGAATATCAAAAGGAACAAAACATCCTTCAATATAGACTATCCTGGGGGTTGCTTGTGCATTTTGCATGGACTC